CTCCCTCTCCCTTCCTCTCTGAAATCAATGAAAACATATTTTTTTAAAAATAAGAGCAGATAGCAATGAAATAGAAAGCAAACATTTAATAAATAAAATCAACAAAGCCAAAGTTGACTCTTTGAAAAACTAATAAAATTAGCATAATATCAATTCAATGCAACACCAATCAAAATCTTCAAAGGTGTTTTGTTCCCCCTCCAAAACTTCCAAGCTAATTTTAAAATATGAAACTACAAAGGACCAGATAGTAAAAACAATTTTGACGCAAAACAAAGTTGTAGGCCCAACAATACAAGATAATAAGACATTATAAAGCCACTATCATTATAATAGTGTGGTACTGGTGCAAAGATAGATAAATAGATCAATGGAATAAAATGGTTCAGCAAAAAAACAAACAAACACACACACACAAAAACAAACAAAAAACACACACACAACAAAAACCCCAGAATTTTTAAGAGATATATGCACTCCCATGTTTATTGCACTATTATTCACAATAGCCAAGATATAGAAACAACCTAAGTGCCCATCAATGGATGAATGGATAACAAAATGTGGTGTATATACATACTTATTCAGCCAGAAAGGAGGATAACCTGCCATTTGAGACAACACGGAAGGACCTTGAGAACATTATGCTAAGTGAAATAAGTCAGACAGAAAAATGACAAATACTATATGATATCACCCATATGTGGAATCTTAAAAAAAAAAGTCAAACTTGAAAACCAAGTGTGAAATGATGTTTACCAGGGAGTGGGGGTGGGGAGATTAAGATTAATATTCATGAAGGGTACAAATATGCAATGAGTAGATATTAGCCATAGAGAGCTTATGCACAATATAATGAATATAGATAATAATATATTATTACAATCATGAAACTTGCTAATAAGACACAAAAAATTAATTATCCAACCACTTAAAAGATAAGATAATTATGTAATGTGATAGAGATGCTAAATATTGCTACAATGGCAATCATATTATAATACATAAATGTATCAAATTGAGACACTGTATACTTTAAATATACAGTGAGTATAATTATGTCAAACATATGCAGCGAAAAAAGAAAAGAAATACAACTCCTGCCCCCACTCCCAAAAAAGAAAGAATGGCCCAGATACAAACCCACATATACATGGATCTGACTTATAAAAAGGATGCTATAGCAATACAGTAGGGGAAAGAATAGTTGTTTAAAAATAACTGTGGATCAATTAGAGATACATATGGGGCGGGGGGTAATGAACCTTGACTTCTACCTCATCCAAAAACCAACTCTAGATAGATCATAATTCCAATGTAAAAAGCAAAAGAATAAAATGTCTAGATACATCAGAGAATATTTTCATGACTTTGGATTAGACAAATACTTTTTAAACAGGACACCAAAACACTAACCATAAAATAAGTGATTAATAAAGTGGGCCTCACTTTTTTAATAGCTTCTATTCATCAAAAGATACCATTAATAAAGTAAAAAAGAAAGCCATAGAGAAGAATTCTCATCAAAAGAAGTTATCTAAAAGTAAGTCACTAAATGTATTCCATTTCAGGTGTTCCTGAAACACACACCCAAACACAACAGCAGAAAGCCAGGTAAACATTCAAAGTTAAATCACACTCCCTTATAGCTTCAGTATTGAGAGATAGAATACCTGACATAGGAATTCATCTGTTATATTTTAGGAAAATTTTGAAAACAACATTAAGAATCTTTGAACCATTTTGATTTCCTCCTACTGTGAAAAATGATATTAAAAGGCAAAAGCTGAAATTGACAGGGCCATTAAAACATGACAGTAGGTTTTTAACTGTGTTCCCTCTAACCTGACAGTTCAGGCCATTTCTCATCTCACCAGAGCCACAGAAAACTTCAGCTACAAAGTCAGACTCTTGTATCCTTGAAACCAGCGTTGGTTTCAATACTAATTGTAATTGAAATTCTCTTAATTTCTGTCTCAATTTAAGAGCAGAGCATACTGTAACTCTCGTACAGGCCTTACGGGTAAGGAGTTGTCAGAAATAAATGAGGTAGTAAGTGTGAAAGCACTCTGTAAATGTGAAATTATTATAAGGCACATGGAGGCACTGTATTAAAAAAGGGTTTATACGGGTGTTGCTGTTGTGAATAAGATGCACTATTCTTAGTGATACATCATTAGATGCTGATGCTGATCCTTTACAATCAGGAGTAGGACATGGATGTCTACTCTCACTGCTTCATTTTAAAACTATACTAGAGGTTCTGGCCAGTGCGGTAAGACAGGAAAAAGAATAAGAAGAAAAAAAGAAATTGGTAAGAAGAAGCAAAACTGTCATTATTTAAAGATTATATAACAAAATGGCTAATTTTAGATCAATGTATTATGAATGTTTATTTGATTTTGTGCAAGGTATCCAGAATGTAAACTCAAAGGTATGCTGCTGAGTGTGTGAAGTATAATGTTGGATATTATTCTAGAAATTAAAATGATAGAACAGGTAAGTCACACTCTGTGGCCTGAAAGTCACACACAATAGCTTTTGGGGACATGGGGCGGTCATAAAATGAAAGACTATGGTTCAAACTGAATGCAAAAAGCAAAGGAAATAGGATGTACAAACCTGAGAATACTCAATTCTAAATTTTTCATAAGTATGCTGTGCAATTTGTGAGTTATCACCACCACCTGAGCTTCCCTTTATGAGCACTTGACTGCTAATTCATGGTAGGACTCCAGTGAATTTTGGTTTCTAAAACATTTTCTGATATGTTCATCTCTGCTCTCCTCCATTATCCAAGACTGTTGTAAACTTATGTTTAAGTAATTCATATTTTAGTACAATATTACAACCCTCAGCAATTTATATTTACTATATTGAATTTTGAAATGTTTTTAATATGGTTCCTTTGTTCTCTGCAATTTTTACAAAATTTAGTCAGCAATTAAGGTATCTTAGCGCTACATTTTTATAATATTCTTTACCCAGAAACAGCTTTTAAAACTGTCTAATTGCCATGGACAGACAATAATGCAGTGAAGGTCTGGGGAGGGGAACGGAGAGGGGAGGAGGGAGTTAATGGGGGGAAAAAGGGAACATCTGTAATACTTTCAACAATAAACATAAATTTTTAAAACTAATTATGTTTCAAAATCTACATTGATAAAAATCGAGTAAAATGGCTACATGAGTGAGTTACTAATGAGTATTTTTTAATGAATTCAAGGTTGGATTATTAGCCTGCAATACCAAAGCAAGGGGTAGCAAGTATTTAAATTTACCAACTGTTTAACTTTTATCTTTGTGTTTAGTAATTTTTCAGATATTTCTCTCTAAATATTACATAATGAGGCAAATACTATTTTTAGTACAATAGAGTAAAACTAAGTCAGAGGCTGCAAGCACATGGAGCCATCTGTTTAGTTATGTGAAAAAAATATTGAGCATCAATCAGAGAAAAATTGAGGGAAAAGTCACTGATAGGTTGAAAACATACTCAACGCTAAGGGGAAAATGTTGTTCTATATCCCGTAAACCAGGCCCTTCTAAATAAACTTAGAAACTGCATACATTTTGATATCTGCCTTACACAAGCCAGAAGCTAATTAGTCTGTAGAATTTCAAAACAGTTAGAAAATATTTTTAATAATTACCTTTTCCTGTTACAAGCATATAATAAATACATTATACAATTTTTTGTGGTGTTGGATGGTTTTGACATTTTTAAAACTAAAAGATGTATCACTTTCTAGAAATCAGTACATTCTCAGATTTTCAGTTATTTATGCACTTCTAGTTCTGAATGATAGATCCATACAAAAATAGATTCTGATCAGTGTATATATTTATAATCCTCAAAAATGAGGCCATCAGGAGACAAGAAAAGACAATATAGACTAAACAAGACAGGAGTGAGCGGAGGGCTAACCCACAAACATGCAAGGATGACTTTACTGAAAGCTGAGCCCTTTGCACAATTAAATATCAATCCTGCTTGGTTAGCATGTGCAGGCAAGTGTTTTTATAAGCACCATTTTAAAAACAGCAAATATACAATGATGTCGATATGTGAGTATACTTCGATTACCTACTGGCTCATCTTTGATGCTCAAAAGGCTAAATTTGATTATTCAGGAACTGGTTATCTAACTTACAAATTAGCCATAGTGTTTGCTTTTTCTCCATATTTTTACAAGATTTTTGGATAGTTCACTGTTTGTTAATCTCTATTGCAATGGTAGATGAGGATAATGCTGAGTATACCCATCACACATTGTAGGGCAACTTAAGTGTGAGGAAAGGGGCAACTTTGTTTAATGCTTTCATAATTTTGAGTCTTTGGCCTCGCTTAGCATCGACAATATGAGGAGTTAACTTCATATAATGACTAAAAAAGTCATTCTGCATTTCTGATATGACCTAGAGAAATGAATAATATTCTAATGAGTATTCTCCACTAACAGAGACAGAATATTTTGTACCCAAGCATATGTACTGAATGCTAGGAAACAGTTTTCTTCCAGGCCTACCACCCATGAGGGAGAAGAAAGATTTCAAAATGGGACATACAAACTGCACGAAGACAAACGCTGTGACAACACAGATTATATCAATAACAGGTGCCACAATACTTCTTAATCCTGCTTACTGTCAAAAAATTGAGACAACTATCACATTATCTTGTCAGAAGGGCAGAGAGATGGGGACTCCATTCAGCGTTTACTGCGGTGGCCTGAAGAGGACCTTCTGTTCCCTTTTGTTTGCAGCAGAGCCAAACTGAGGCTATACTGTGCCTCTTCCTCACAAGTTGGCACTGAACACGCAGCCAAAAAGATACCTCAGGACCTAGGACTGAGGGTCTGGCAGTTTCCATGTAAAGCAGAGAACATGCACAGAGCACATAAGAAAGGAAGACGGTAAGAAATCTCAAACTCTTTCAGATGGGTTCCTGAAAGATAGTCTATAAAATCAATTAGAAAACCTGAGGCCGAGGGCCCTACCTTGCAGATCTTGTAGAGCGATTCCTGGCCATCTCCTCCTGTGTCTTTAAAGTAATCATGTGCAGGGAACGTCCGATGAATGTCTCGAGTGATAACACTCTCCTGGGCGGAGTCCTTAAAGAAAAAATTGAAATTTCTTTTTAATTATGAAAGCTAACACATATACATGGAAAAAAGAAAATTCAAACAGCACATAAAAAGTATGCCCCTCCCATCAATGCCTTCCACCCAAGAACATAGTCTCTCTGGAATATTCCTTATCAGTACATGCAAATGTATTTCATTCTCTCTAAGAGCAGCTACTTAAAAGAATGAGGTACATTGGATATGGATATATCATTATTTATTTATGTATTTATTTATGTATTTATTGAGAGAGAGAGGAAGGGAGATGGGGAGAGAGAGACAGAGACAGAGACAGAGAGAGACAGAAAGAGAGAAATATTGATTGGTTGCCTCCCATACGCACCCTGACCGAGGATCGCACCCACAACCTGGGCATGTGCCCTGACTGGGAATCGAACCCACAACCTTCCAATGTATGAGAAGATGCTCCGACCAATTGAGCCACACCAGCTAGGGCAGTGATGGCGAACCTATGACATGCGTGTCAGAGGTGACACGCGAACTCATTTTTTTGGTTGATTTTTCTTTGTTAAATGGCATTTAAATATATAAGATAAATATCAAAAATATAAATCTTTGTTTTACTATGGTTGCAAATATCAAAAAATTTCTATATGTGACATGGCACCAGAGTTAAGTTAGGGTTTTCAAAATGCTGACACGCCGAGCTCAAAAGGTTCGCCATCACTGAGCTAGGGCTATCATAACTTATTTAATATTCTCCTAATAATAATTGTTTTTGCATTTTTTCTATTTATATTACAAATAATATCACTAGAAACATTTTTATCCATATATTCAAGAATAGGTTCGTAAAGGTGGAATTGCTAGGTCAAGGACATATATATTTCCTTTTTTAAAAAAATATATTCCCATTGATTTCAGAAGAAGAAGGGAGAGGGAGTGAGAGAGAGAAACATCAATGATGAGAGAGAATCATTGATCAGCTGCCTCCTGCATGCCCGCAACTGGGAACGGAGCCCACAACCCTGGGAATGTGCCCTTGACTGGAATCGAACCCGAGACCCTTCAGTCTGCAGGCCAATGCTCTATCCACTGAGCCAAACCGGCTAGGGCATGTACTAGTATTTCCATTTTTGATAAAGTTGCTTTCCCTCCAGAGTTGTGCCCAATACATACAAACCGTAGGAAGAGTGCTTCTCCACACCCCACAATATCACCTGGTATCTACCTTTGTAATTTTGGACAATATAATAACTGAAAACTCAAACCACAGTAATTTAAAAAAGTAAAATATTATCAATCTTTCCTCCCTGCGAGGTTAATTCCCCAACTTATTCCAGAAAATAAAAAGCCCCAAAACTACTATATTAAGATGACAAATGCTTTTTAAAAGATATATATATATATAGTTATTTTTTTCCAGATTTAGAATCCAAAAGCTCCAAATTGAGTAAAATTCTAAGCCTTATGAAAAAATGATTAATGATTCACTTGATTTTATTTCATTTCTGTAAAGATGGTTAGTTTTATCTGTTTACATGTCAAGAAGATGTGTTGGGACAATGTCTAGCAACCCTGATGATGGAAATATTTCACATAATTTAAGGATATCTTAATGAATACCACAGAAAATTAAAAATATTTGTTTAATGTCTTGCTTCCATAAAGATTTGAACAAATCCCCTTTCAGTTTAAATCCAGGGAGGAAAAGAATGTTTAATATATGAGTTACTTTAATGAATGGTATTTCCATTTGCTCTCTAGCTGAGACGTGCATAAAGGAAGTAGCTGTGTGGCTCCGAGTGAAGCCAGTGCCTTGTCTTGCTGCCTTTTTCATTTCAGCTGCTATTTCATGCTGAGTGGTAATTAGATCTTCTATCACATAGAGAAAGGATACGGACTGAAAAGTTCCACATTTGCTAGCAAACACCAAACATATTGCAAATCAGTCCAGAGAAAATTCTGATGGCTTACAGGAATGGAATGTTAGAGTTGAATAAAAATGAAACTTAAAAAAAAATAGCATAACTTAAGAAAAAGCACACATAGAAAGTTTATATTTATCAAGGTAAATACAGTTTTTACTGATAAAGAATACTTTAGGGTGAGGTGGGCATTGAACAAGGTGAATGAATATGAAGGTAATGTATAAAGAGAGTCACTATGAAATGTAAGTTTTACTTGGTCTGGTCTAGAGAAGGAGGGAGTCTGGTACCAGGTAGAAGAAAGTTTTCAGTGTCCAGGTGTTTTCCAAGAGAAGGGTTCTCTTTCCATACAGTAATCGTTTCCACTTACAAACTATTTGAAAAGATAACCAATGAAAATGTTATCACTACCGTTGCTGGACTATTTCAAGAGCAAACATATGCCGAGTGGATAACTCTTTTAGCAGCTTTCAAGATGTTAAAGAGAGAAATCATTGAACTATATTCCCTAGTAACTGCCTACTCATTTGGCATCATGCTGTGTTTAAATGGTACAAACAGTCTGATTAAGTAAAAGGGAAAGATCAGCAATTTCAAGAAAGTAATTTTGCTTAAGATTGAGTAATTTCTTTCTATGCATATGTGAATCTTCCTTGTTGTTTTTTTAAAGAGGCAAAAATCAAATGAAATTACAATTCATAAACTTTTCCTTACTTAATAAACTTTCCCTTTCTAGGGAAATACTTTCTGCACTTGTGTGCTTCTAGAGTTTTCTTCCTACATATTGATCTCAGTTTCTAAGGGAATAATTTCTGGAACTTCACTTTATAGACTAAATAACTATTGTTACATTGTTCATTGGAAGTAAAGGTCAAGATATACAGTAGACTCTTATAAATAGACTAAAATGAATGAAATTGTGTACTAGACTAGAAAAATAATCATTTTTTAAGCTAAAGCTGATTACCCATATTGTTGACAGCAGGAACAGTATGTATGTGTATGTGTGTGTGTGTGTGTGTGTGTGTGTGTGTGTATATATATATATATATATATATATATATATAAATTTTTTTTCAGGAATCAACACCTAATTCCCAAAATTCATTCACTCCCTCCCCCATTCAACAAATATTAGAGACAGGGAGTCACCAAACCTAACTCTCAAAGAATGATAAAACAACTGTTCTCTTTGATATTCATTACTTTCTTTTTAGTCTTATTCAAATTATATTTGTCATTTTTACAAAGAGTAAAATGTATAGAGAGGACAAAAAAGAGGCCAAATAATTCACCATCCTATGATAAAAGGGTAATATGCAAATAGACCGAACAGTGGAATGACCGGTCGCTATGACTTGCACTGACCACCAGGGGGCAGCTCCTGCATTGACTGTCTGCCCCCTGGTGCTCAGTGCACGTCATAGTGACCAGTCATTCCACCGTTCAGTCTATTTGCATATTAGCCTTTTATGCCTACAGGATCAGGCCAAAACCGGCTCTCCTCCATCCCAAGGGGTCCCAGATTGCAAGAGGGCACAGGCCAAGCTGAGGGACCCCACTGATGCACAATAGGGACTGGGGAGGGACACGGGAGGTTGGCCAGCCAGGGAGGGACTGTGGGCGGGCTCCAGGGTATGTCCGGCCCTTCACTCTCAGTCCCAATCAGCCGGACCCCAGCAGCAAGCTAACCTACGGGTCGGAGCGTCTGCCCCCTGGTGGTCAGTGCATGTCATAGCGAGCAGTTGAGTGGCCTTAGCATATCATTAGCATATTACGCTTTGATCGGTTGAATGGATGACAGGATGACCAGCTACTTAGCATATTAGGCTTTTATTATATACGGTGGCTAAAAACATTGTAGAGCACAACTAAAACTGATATGAGGTCATTTTCTTGGAGGGTCCCCATAAGAAGAGTCTCCTTAAGTTCTGCCAACCATGTTCAGAATGAAAAGAGGGAAGTCACTCCTTCATGAGCAGCTACTTCCCCGTATCCAGAGACTGACAACTTGACCCAGCATTTACTTTCCTGTAAATGCATCTCGCATTCTGATCCTCAGGCCATGATGGTGGATTACTGGCTTTTGGAGCCAGATGAGCTCATTGGTTCTATTTCTGGCTATTCTACTTGATACCTACGAAATCTGACAACTTATTTAATCTCACTTAGCATTAGTTACCTCATCTGTAAAATGGGATAACACCAAATTCATGTCGTTTAGGATAAAATAATGTGTATACAGTGCTTAGTACACTGCTTACTATAAACTGAGTACTAGAGAAAGAAAAAAATGAAAATAATTATTATTCCTCCTTTCCTCAAGAATCACATTTAACTGTTTAAATATTTTGGTGAACATACATTTTAGACATCTTTCTGTATTTGTACACACTAAATAATAAAGTAAATAACTGTTCTTTAGATATCATGAACATGATTATGAAACCAATTTTTTTAGAATTTTGAGCATGATGACATAATGCATACGTGCCCTGTTCTGAATTTCTTGTCCTGTATGTTATGTGTCCTAAATTATCCTTGTTTCTATTAATCCATGAATAAAAGCAAAAGTGAACAATTATTTGAATAAAGTGATGTTTTTATCAACTGACAGACACTCTGGCTCCAGTCTTGCATATGTCCATGCAATAAAGAAAGACGTACACAAGCTCAGGAGGATGGGAAGGATAGGGTAAAGTGGAAGCTAAATTTGCCAGAGCAGCTACCACTTTAGTATCATGACTTTAGCTTCAGAGGATCAAGCAAAGGATAAAGTCATAGTTATGGAGAGGACAAATGCCACTGTCATGATTGTATGCTTCCCTTTTGGACTGTCACCACCAAGAATGTAACCTAGCTGGTAAACAAAGTCCTTAAGATGGTCCTCTATTGTGCCTAAGGAGGGTCAGGTTAGGTCACACACAAAAGCTGACTCAGATCAGAAATTAGGAGTAGTGGGGAAAGATTTGGAAGAAAGTCTTAAAAGTTGAGTTTTATTCCCTCCACCCCCACCCCTGACACTACCATCAGATACATTTATACTTAGTTAACCGTTTAAGGATTTTCTTTAATTTCCAAACAACTAGATCATAACAC